GCCGAGATGTACTCAGCTCACAAATGCTCAGGTCAAAAAAAACCGGTGGCCAGTAGTGGACACGTCACAAGCTAGGGGGCTGCTTGCCTCGGTTTCAAAATTTACAGTATAAGAAACAAACCCTAGAGAGAGAAACACCGCTTGAAAATCTACCCTCTACTCTGTGTCTGAGACAAAACTACTCATTAAAAACACTCAATGTAATTTTTTTTACAATACAAGTAAAGCACATGCAAAAAAAATTACTATAGTGATATACCGTCAGAAATTTATCTCTTGTTCTAAAATAAACAGCTACAAGGCAGCCACAAAACAAAGCTGGAGGAGTGTGAATGGTGGTTCTCCGCAATGCCTTCCCACTAAAAGAAAGCAGATATTGAACAAACTTCTTCGGGACATGCATTAATGCACGTGGTCCGATGGTATATAAAAAAAATTTACCGCTGAAGGTTAAAATACTATAAGAAAATCGACGGGGTAGTACCCAAACCATAACAAGTAAACGTAAGGTACAAAATAAAAGGGTACTACTCCATAAACTGGTGCTTGGGAGTCCAATAACCCAGAATCTGGAAGTTAATGAATCGGCGCCCGCAGCTCAATCTCAGCAGGAGATTAAATGACTCAGAACACCTAAATTTTTAAAAGAAGGATGAGTGAGTGGCCTTGAAGGTAGGTTCGGTAGGAAATCAAAAGAAACGGAGAAAAACCGGTAAAGAAGGTATCTTGATAGGAAACCAAATATTTCTATAGAGGCTAGTAAGTACAAAAATCACAGAATGGCGGTGACTGCGAATGGGTGGAACCAACTCTACGAGGAACAATCAACATTTTATGAGTAAGCTTCTGAGATAGTCGTGAGTAATATTATAACATTAGTGTCCAAAAAATTTCAACACAATACTGAGTCGCTGAGAAAGAAAGATATAATACATGTGAAATTATTCAATCAATAAACTATGAAATTTTCCAAAACAAAATAATTGAAAAGGGTTTGGCCTAGGAAATCGGTGCTCTACCATCAATAAAGAGAAATCCAAATTACTGGTTAATGATCAAAATAGTAAAAAAAGGTTACGAGATTTTGGCTCGTTACAAAGCTTTCGCACCAGCGAGCCCTCAGCCATCTAGCTGTCTTCTACCGCTACTGCAATGGGGTTTGCTCCTCAGAGCTCTCCTCCATGATGCCACCGCGCTTTTTGCCTGCCAGTGAGACCCGACTTGTCTCTAGGGTATCGAGTTTGTGGAACAATCTACATGAGGAGGTTTTTCCCAGTTCTACTAAGCTTGGCATTTAGCCTTCTGCCTGCGCGGTTGCTTCGGTGTAAAAAAACTTCAGTGACTCGAATTTCAGCTTGACCATTTTGAAGAGCACTGGTTTCATTTCGCTGAAAAAACCCCGACAAGCTTGGCTTCCCAATGTCCTACTTTGGTACGCGTTGAAGCTCTATGGAATTTAATCGCGGTACGCGATGTATCCTGCTACAGCAATTTATTAATTTTAAAAAAATTAATTACACCGCTTTGATCAACGCTTTACCTAGTAGGTTCCCATTTTACCAACAAAATACGTAAGATTTTACTAGTTTTTATAATATTGTCTGAGCACGCGATGTAACAAAAAGTTTGCGATGGGCTCTTAGACTTCCGCCTTTTTATCCCCATTTATATCTTCAGGGGCAATGCGATGTTGCCAGACTGCGGCAGGTGAGTTTAAAATCATGCTAGGCTTATAATGTAATTTGTAGCTTTAGAAGAGTATTTGAGCAAATGTGGGAAGTTTGTTTGCCAACTATAATTATTCATTCCAAACTGATCAATTAATAACTTCCAGGATAATCAGTGATTATTTTTAAATATATACTAGGATACTAGACGAGGCGGAAACGTCGCATTCGCGAGAGAAGTTTTTAAACTCAATTTGTGTATCATAATACTTATTGTCCTTTAACATAACACAAAAGATAGTCGCTCGCTAGCCCGGGTCAAGTTTGTTTAAACCCACGCGAAAAACCATTTACTTTACTCGATAACTTTTTCCATAAAACTGCATGCATCTACGTAATATATGGGTAAATCTGCAATGACGTCATTATACAGGTTATTGTTGAGAGATAGATACAATTACGCATACCTAGGAGTATGACTTCTTATACTGGTTGGCTAAGTCATACCTTTTACATATTTTTTTTTCTTGTTGTTTTTGACTTCCATGCACCGTTGCAGCAGCTGGTATTCTTACCTTACATATAAAAGGTATTTTACTTTCGGTAAATAGACTTATTTTGTATGTAATATGACATATTCAAGATGTCTGGATCGACATTCAAAAAGCGCTCTACTCTACTTCACTTAATTAGACGGTGTTATGAACAAAATGGCTTTCTGATTCGCGAAGCGCTTCTTAGGCCCAATTTCACCAACATTAATATTATGGACAATGGGAAAATACCTTATCGAAATGCAATTTGACAGAAGCTGTCAAAGGTCTCGGAATATCAGTGATTTCTATTAAAATATTGAATAAAATCGTGGAAATTCGACTGTATTATAAACAAGACCACTTCTTGATTCCAACATGATGCTTTTGTACAGAGAAAACAGGACAACTTTCATGTATTTTGATTTGTGTTATACATTTACATTTAACAATCAGTTATCCACAAAGCCAATGGGAATGAGGCAAATAATAGGTCGATTTTCTAGCTGTTAAATTTGGCAGCAGATTTGGACGTTTGTTAATGCATGGCAATCTCGAATTTAAGTTCAATATACTGTTATCATTACATACCTGTTGAATAGTGTGGATTTGTCTGTATTTTGCAAGAAAATAGAATATAAAATACATTCCATCCAATTCCTCATCTTCCTTTACATCATAATAGTAATCATTTATTAATTTACGGGTTAATGAATTTCTTCAAAGCAATAAAAACATTGTCCTTTCCATCCTAAAACACAGATAATATGTGTAAGACGTGTCAATCCCTACATCTCCGTGATGCATAATGCAATTATTATGGACATAAACAAAAAATTATGAATAATGTCTTTTAAGTCAACAAATCAGAAAAACTATTAATGTTTATTGTTTGATTGCCTTTTTCACTGGCGGGGTTATCAATCTGTCACTCGCAGGGTTGGCAAGTCTAACGACGATCACGTCCCGTGGTGAAGGGTGCGCCATGAATCTTTTACATTTGCTGGTTTTGAATTTAAAGTAGGAATACAAAAATAGTACTTATGATAGTTGGAGCTAGACTGATAACACTTCTTGAAGAGTATTTGAAAAATGTGAACACCGTCATGGTCTGTTGTCAAATTGCAAATGAAGTATCTGAAAATTCTTACATACAGTGGACCTTCGTCATAGTTTACTATCCTGATTATGATCATTTTTAGCAGATGTGTTGTATCATCAAATTGATGAACAAATATAAGAAAGCTATTATATACCTACATACAGAGGATTTTTCATGTAAATTTATATATAATGATTATAAGCATCTTTGGTTGATTGTTCGATCCGGAATGGGAAAGATCTCCTATTTATGAAAATATTTTTGGTACAATCTAACCGCAGCAATCAGTAAACAAAAACTGTGACATATGACTTATAGCATAACCCGCTGCCCTATCAATACATATTTAACATACAGGTCGCCAAGCCGTGGGGATGAAGTGGTCGGGATGAATATCACGGCAGCAACTGACGATTTGGGCATGTCTGGTAACAACGTATGAAGTGCAACTCACTAACTTCACAAATTTGAAGGGTTTGTACAATTTTTGTACAAAATTTCTTTGAAAATGATGAAAGATATGTCTGATTTCTCAGGGTAATGTCGCAGCCAAATGGCAGTCACTTTTTCTGACACAGTCCGGAACAATTCCACGAATACTCTTATAAAGCATAGTAGAGTATATTTCAACAGTTGGCGGAGCTTACTCCACTGGCACCAGGGGAGGTGAAACGAGATATTAATGCACAACCTGGCAACCATGTCGCACCCTCACAAAATGGCCGCTGACAACCACACAAGTCACCGTGTTGTCATTGAATAGCATGGATTTAAACCTTCTTCAGAGTATATGCTTTGTGACTGGGACCAAGGGTTGACAGATCCCATACATGTGTCACTCGATGAGTCTTGAAATGCAATAATCAGCTGTACTCAAATAATGTCTAACATAAATATAACCTAGAATGTGTACTCGTGAAAAAAGAAAAATATGGCAAATTTGTAGTTTTTTGCAGGTTTTAGGTTTGCTGGTAGCTTTAAGGCATATATTTGGGAATTTCTTAATCGCTCTGAATATAGTGTGGATGTTTGTTCAGTTCCTGAACAACGAAAAATATTCAACTTTATGGATGTATGGATATCAAAAAACCTGAATGGTTTTGTGGGAATATCAATCTAAGGTGCCATAATGGTTCTGATAAACGGCAAGTAAATGAATGAATGTTTGGAAACGAGCAATATCTTTTGGTAGAGCCTGTCATCAAGTAGATACTTATTGGCTATCTGCAAGAGGTTTATAGGACAAAACCGCTGCGCCTGTTGTTTTACGTAATCCTTTAAATATAGGATATCAAGATCTCTGTGAATAGTCTCATTTGACACGTACCAAGGGGTGTTAGTAATTGTGCGTAGGGTTCTGTTTTGCAGGACTTGCAGTGTCTGCATGTGCGTCTTGGCAACAAAACACCAAGCCGCGCATGCGTAGGTGATTGCGGTTCTTTGACCATTTTATACAACCGAATCTTGTTGATCAAACTTAATTTTGAATTTCTGCACAACAGAGGATAAAGCTGCCGAAAGGTAATTTGGAATTTTGTTTTCAAAATATCAGTATGTGTCTGCCAGGTCAACCCCTTGTCAATGATGACTCCAAGATACCTGACAGATGATAAATGCAGATTGTCTATTGTACTTAGCCATTCAATGGTTGCGGAAAGATCGCATGCAATGCCTGAGTGGCGCTAATCAGGGGACTTATTATTGAATCGACCTAAGCACAGCTGCTAGGTCCACATTCTGCGTGTTCAAAGTGGGTTGAATAGAGGGGGCAGCCGAAGATGTTGCGACGGCTGCTTCCGTGTACGACTTGCTGCGTCTTTGTGCTATGACTTCCAGATTTCGCCTGGGGGTGAATCTGTTAGTAGGACTGTTAGCGGGATGCGCCCCTCCACAGTTCGCACACTTTCGCTCTTCTTGTCCTGTGAGGGGGCATAAATGTGTCATGTGGTCGGAAGCACATTTTAAACATTTGTTAGGTGCTGTGCAGTAAGACTGCGCATGACCATACCTTTGGCAGCGGTGACACTGGCCAATAAGTCTAGAGTTCTTTTGAACTTCAACTATGATTGTTAGACCCAGCAGCTCATGTTCATTGAACAGCTGCTGGGACTTTTCAATCTTGGACAGTATCACGACCACCAAAGGCATGGGTGCGCCACCACTGCGTTTGAGTCGGATAATGTGGAGAGGAGTATATCCTCTCTGTTCTAATTCCTCTTTGATCTCCTGTTCCGAAAACATTGCGGGATGCCTCTGACTACCGTATGAATATTTCGTTCTGAAGGAAGAGGGAACGTATGATGGGGCACGTCCTCCTCCCTGAACAGGTGAACGATTCTTCGGTAGGCATCATCAGTTTTTGGCAAAATCCTGATTCCCGTATCAACGGCAACTGCGCGTTCTATCTTAATGCCTAAGCTTCTAAAGGTGTAGTTTAGATGTCGCCACTTGGTCGCATCACGCAAAACAATGGGCGTGATTCGCCCCTGGCGGGGTGCTGCGCTGGTCAACTCACCAGCAGCGTGAGATTGTTGATATGCACCGTCAGTCGATGCAGTGGCCAAAGATTGAGAAGATGTGGTCGCTGCATCGACCGTCATAGGACAAGTTTCAGAAGAAGTTGATACGTTTAGTGAACCAGAATGTTTTGAGGGGACTGTCAACTTGAATTTTGATTTTGCTTTTGGAAGAGGTGGGAAGTCATCCGTCTTGTCGGTTTTGTTCGTTATGTCGATACGTCTTTTCCTAGACTTGGCCTGGATGAATCCGTCATTCTGTATTTCATCGTTGGTCGATGTCACGTCAGTTAAATTTTCAAGACGTCTTTTTAAATTGACAGCCTTGTCAGATTTAGAATTAAAATTTGCATTATTGATTAACTGTGTTACCTGGGTGGTCAGGCAGTCTATTTTACTGTTTTGGTCCCTAACTGTTTCAGTCAGCTTCTTTATTTGCTGGGCCTGGCTTTCGATGATCAGGGTCTGGCGCTGGATGGTTCCGTCCTTTTCGTCTGCTACAGCTGGTGTCATCAATTCCTTTGATTTCTTGGTAATTTCTGTTCTCTCCTTCTGGCTGGGTCCTATCATCATCGGGGATGCTGTGGATCATTACTTTGACCTCCAGAGTCTATCTCCATGTTTTTAAATCGGATTTTCTATTGAAAACTTTCACGAGCAAAAATATGACGTATTGTCAATTGTCGAATTCATATGTGCCTTATTGATAACATCACCCATTATGTTTAACCCTTGGATCAAGTGACTTTTGAACGTTTCCTAGGAACAGTTGCAAAAGCAGTTAGACTGCGCCAGAAATGTTGATTATTTTCACTTGCCTAGATATGATCTAGGTGTACATTCGTCTGTTTGTTTTTGCAATGCTTTGAACATTAACCATCTCTTCCGAGAAAACTTCACTTGGACAACCACCGTAGCCCTGATCTACGATACGCGCAACTCCGTATTTCACTTGGAGGCCCCGGCGAACTCTGGACTTCTCCGCTCGACAGTCCGTCGCGGTCACTGTGGGTGTAGAGGTGCGCGTGATTCAATCGCTTTGGGATCCGGGTGAAGACGCGGAAAAGTTCGCGCCTGTTGCGGTGTTGCAGTTGATCTACGATTTGGTGCTGTGGACTATTTAGTGATTGCTGGTAGGTAATATACTGTCCTGTAGTAATATTTGAATTCAATTCAATCCATTTATTTCCTTCAGACATATGGATGTATAGGAGACGGTCAAAAGTTAGCACATACTGAATTTGAAAAATGACATAGGTTACTCATAAGTACAAACAAAGGAACAAATAAAAAACGCAACGCTACACCGTGTGATCAGGTTTCCGAAAAAAAGCTCTCAATGTTATTATAGGATTTCTCAACGAGTTTTTCAAATATCTTTTTGAGAATGCCAGTAACGTACTGTTTTTATGTGACAAGGTCGTCTATTCAGAATCTCAAGTCCTTCATAAGTTGGTGATGATTTTGTGATCTCGAGTTTTGGAGTAGGAATATGAAAGTGTTCTTTCTGTCTGGTGTTAATGAAGTGTATTTCTTCATTTTTCCTAAACATATACGGTACCTGTTTTTAAATATATACAAAGAAACCTCATATATGTAAATCGATGTCACAGTAAGAATGCGATATTTTTTAAGAAGTTTCTTACATGAGTCTTGTTGAGCAACTTTAGCTACGATACGGATCATTTTTTCTGGGCTCTAAATCAGGGAAGACAGTATAGGTTGCCCATTGACATATGCCATACCTTAGACTACTATCAATCTGGGCATGGTGATAACATTAATTGCTGGTCGTTTAAGATACCTCCCAGTGATCTCATCAAAAAAGTAAACGAGACCAACTTTTTATCAAATTACTGCAATGACTCTTAAAAGAATAAACCTAGAAATTTTACACTTTGTGTTTCCCATCATTTTTTCATCGTTACTAACAGCTAAATCTGAACTTAGGCTCTGCCTGCAATAAAACCTAATTTTGTCTGTTTCATTGCAGTTAAAAAACAGGTCATGGGAGTGAAAAAAGCTAAAATTCAAAGTTTACGAACGTTTATTCGATAGTATATTTGTACCTACTTGTAGAGAGCTCATCTGGAGCTGCAACGTATTCCTCATTTTGAAGCTCGTTATCAATGTTATTTACATATAAAACTAGTAGTATTATTCTAAGTATCGGCCTCTAAGGGACGCCCATTGACAGAATGGATGTTGCAGATCTACCAGTGACAGTTTTGGCACCAAAATTAGCTGATCGTTGTCATTACCTCTAACTCCATAGTTTTCTAGTTTGCCTATAAATGATTTATATTTACAGCCCCAGTACATCTCTTGTATTGGTTTTGGGCTGCCATGTGTGTTTTTCTGCGTTCCTTGCCGCTGTGTATAGCTGTTCTGTAGTGATAATTTAAGGTGTGTGGTTTTTCTTGACATTCCGTATTTTGTGAACTTGTACTTTCTTCAATGAGCAAGCTCCTAGTCATTTTTTTATGGTTTTGCTGACCTTTATGTGTTGCCGACAGATGGCCCTGGATGTATTACTGCTGATTTTTGTTGAGTGATTTTTAATAAATTGATGATTCCTCCCATATTATCTACACGTTTTTCAAATTGTGATATTAACTTTTGCTGCTCTTTGTATTGACTAACCTTTGCCTGCACTCTATATCCAATGAACGCCTGCTTGTTGCAGGCGCCATGATCGATCGTGTTCTTACTTGTTTCATAGAATACACCGAATGAATATAAACTTCATTCTTCCACAGAATCTCCAGTAATAGTCGCAATTCGTTTAGTTTATCGTTTTCAATTTTATCAGTGGGTAACTTGCAATAATTTAAAAGATCACTTTTCTTACATTTGTCGAGTTAACTTGCGTGGACATCTTTAAACAATGCCATATTTTGACTTCACATCACACAGAATATTCGCTTTTACTAATTTTCAACTGTAACTTATTACATGTTCAACCGATAAGTCGTTGCAGTTTTCGTCGCACAAGCTACGAAACCAAATAAGAATAAATATAAAGAGCTCCCTTGCTCACTATTCTATAAGGCTTACAAAAGAAAAAGTATACCTTAATTACATGTGACTTTAACGCTAAACAATGTTGTATCGTACAAAGCTTTCAGCTCGACTCTTGGCACTTCCATGATTTATAATGAGTCAACTGTCAACAATATAAACATCTCAGGCAAATGAACCAAGTATAATTAACCTCTCGGTTGTATTGGCAGCCCTTGCCATAAAGGCTAAAGGATTGTGTCTTGCCGAGTTACTTTAACTAGTATCTAGTCATCAAAGCATTTTATTCAGTGAACAAGTTTTCAAATTAGTGTGGTTTATTCGGTGTTTTTCTACTTCATCTTGTCTGTTGATGATTCCGAATTATTTTAGTGAACTCTGGAGATTTTAAGCTCAAAGTGATACCTGCTGTAAAAAGTTTCGAACATAAATAAAGGGCTATTTGATCTGATACGATAGAACTAGATGAATGGACGAAAGTACTGTTGTTAGTTTCCCAATCTACTCTTACTTTTTCAAGCCACCAACTATGCTTATAAAATTTAGTGAAACACTGTGAACTGCTGCGCCGTTAATGAGCATCAGGCCGATGCGGTAATTGTATTTTCAAGTAAAAAAAATGTTGTTAGTTTTCCGAAGTAGATAATTTTCTACTACGAGCTCAAAATATTAGTTTTGTACAATTGGATCCATAAATTAACTGTTGCTTTCTCAAAATATATGGCAAAAATGTATTATGGTAGATAAGTATAATAAGCATCTATTTATAACAGCGGCACCTCTGTTTCCAAACGTATTACTTTAAAACGAACAGAATCACTAGCGCCTACCTGTGTTACAATACTGAATGTCAACATCGTTGTGAATTGTAGATATATGAAAATTATATTTTCTTATTGTTAAGTAACATTTATGCGAAAATGGTACGAGGTGTAGTCACTAATCAGAAAGTGAGGCAAATTATAATTCAGCAGTTTTGCAAAGGAAAGTCCATACGCGGGATATCCAGTGATTTTGTTATCACTAAATCTACAGTTTCGGACATTGTAAAAAAAGTATAGGGAAACTGCAAGTACTGATGTCCGCCGTAAAAGTTTAGGTCGACCGAGGATTGTAATTGAATGGAATTGAAGAGCATTGGTCAAAATCTGCAAATCGAGTAGACGAAACACCTTAAAGGGAACTACCACTCAGTGGAACACAAAGTGTGGGATGCAACTTTCACGAGAATGCCGTCGGAAGTACATTCGTAAATCTGGACTAAAATTTTATAAGGTATGCATTATAATATTATTATTTCAAAGCAATGAAAAAATGCTTTTTCCTTAATTAGGCTAAAGAAAAACCGCATCTAACTAAAGTTTAAAAACAGAGACGCTTAATTTGTGCAAAATCAAAGCACTTTTGGACGTACGAGCACTGGAGCCAGGTCATACTTAGTGACCAAGCCAAATTCGATGTATGCGTGGGCAATCATCGAAAAAGGGTTATCACAAGCAAAACTAAAACCTTTCACAAAGACTGTATTGAACGTATAGTAAAATTTGCCAAATACTTATACAGAGTGCGGCAGAGAGAATGGACGGTTTTAAAAAATAAATAAATAAAATAAATAAAATAGTTAATTTTTACTCGATAACAAATTTATTGATGGAATCAGGTTCACAAGGAAATAGCATTTGAGACAGTCAAGTGTGGAAAATCACATCAGGCATGTGGTGGCCGAAATCGTTGATGCAGT